GGGAGGAATAAGGGGTGGTAGAGGGACCCCCAAAACTGACCCTAGGAACCAAAGGAATCTGGCCCGGCCCTTGGCTGTCCCAGGAGCTCTTGGCCTGTGGATGGGAACAGACACAGCTTAGACCACACCGAGATATTCAGCAGAGCTCCTGAGGAAGAGACAGACTGCCCTGTGTGAATCCTGAGGATTCAGCCGAAGCAGATCAGCACCTGCTAGGGCAGAAAGGAAGGCTTCCTGGAGGAGGGGGCCTGAGGATACTGGAACACAGGAGATGGGGTGTAGGGCAGGGGGAGGTGAAGGCAGGTGGCAGAGGTTGTTCAGGAATGGTAGGAGGAGACGGTCGAGTAGTAAGGCATTGCATGGTAGTGGTCAGAACATGGGCCGAACATAGGGGTGGGGAGGTGAGTGTGGGGCCCCAAACCACCCCAATGTGGCTGTGCCCTAACCCACGCAGGGCAGCTCTCAGGCCAGAGGTGGGCCAGGACGCCCCACAGTCCCAGGCTGGGGAAGGGCTGGAGGACTTGTAGCGACTTGAGGTGCCAGTCTTGTGCCCTGGGGATACAGAAGTAGCCGGAGGTGACCTGTCAGGGCCAAAGCCCCAGGTGCAGGAAGCTGCACACGTGAGTACACATGTGCCTGCACACGTGTGGCACACCTCAGCAGCCCCTGGGGAGGCCACACACATCAGAGGAAGTAGGCCGGGGAGGGAGGTGGGCAGCCGGGCGTGGCGCCAGGGCAGGCAGGGGAGTAAGGCTTCCAGCACAGAGGCCTGGGGACAGACGTCCTCTCCACAGACAGGCCCGAGGCCACACCATCCTCAGGTCACCTCCCTGCAGCATCCAAGGGAGTCTCCGGTTTCCCCTCAGGATCCTCATCACCCAGACAGGGGCTGGAAGAGGTGACCGCTGCCACCTTAAAACCAGGGAGAGACCATCCTGGGGGTATCACCCTGCTGCAGCCCAGTAGGTAGGCTGCCTGTGCTGTAGAGCTACATAGGGACATAGGGACATGGTGGCAGGGGCCATGCCAGGGCCCTGAGTGGCAGAGGCCAGGTGTCTCAGGGCCTGGTTGCATCCTCTCTCGGAGGGTCTGTGAAGCTGGCTAGCCTGGGCTGCAGACTAGACTCAGGCTATAACGTGGTGTTTCAGACAGACTCCCTCCACACATTCCTATGGAAATCAACTAGCAGAGAAGGCTGGGGTGGGAAGGCTGTACTTAGGGGAGACTGAGCTAGCTCATGAATGGAGGGGAAGGGGCCGAGGGAGCAGGGAGCAGGCTCCTGAGGAAGCAGAAGGGTAGGAGCCAAGGCTGGGGGTGGCGGGTAGCTCCTCCCCCAGCCGGCAGAGAGGATGCAGATGGAGCTCCTTTGTGGTTGGGTGGGAGGCCAGGAAGTTCCCTACTGACGTTCTCCCCTCTCCTGCTTGAAGTGGGAGGCTGGTCGTGCTGAGAGTGAAGGGGAAGAGAGAGGGGAAGAGGGGGCTGGGGGGCACGGCAGGGAAGCTGCCAGCCCAAGGGGAGGATGCTGGGCACACGGAGGGCCCCCTGCCCGCAACCTCCAGCATGTTCAGCTCTTGCTTAGCAGGAGACCGTGCAGGTAATGCTGGTGGCCACAACGTCTGAGCCAGCACTACACTTCTGTTAACTTATTTAATGCTTACAACGTCCCCTAGGAGGAAGGTACTGTTTATTGTTGTTACTTGCATGGAGTTGCTTCCAATGCATGGTGACCCTCTGTGTACAGAGTAGATAGAACTGCCCCCCTGGGTTTTCAAGGAGCTCTGGTGGCACAGTGCCTAAGGCATTTGACTGCTAACCAGAAAGTTGGCCGTTCAAACCCACCAGCCACTCTGCGGAAGGAAAATGGAGCAATCTACTTCCATAAAGATTTACAGCCTTGGAAACCCAATGGAGGTCACTATGAATTAACTCAACAGCAGTGGGGTTGGTTTGCTTTTTTGGGTTTTTTATGGATGAGGAAACTGAGGCACAGAGAAAGGAAGTAACTTGCTTAGGGACCTAGCAAGCGACAATGCAAATCCAGGCAAACAGGATCCGTGCTTTCTCTCAGCTGGAGCCATGGAGCTGCAGGGAGGGGGAGCTGAGGGGCAGGTGGAGGGACGCTGAGGGTTCTGGGTGCTACCCCTTGGATTAGGGGCAGAAGGGAATCAGGGGAGGGTAGGTGAAGGGTGCCCCAGAGACAGGCTTCTAGGAGCTGGAGGCCGACAGGGGGGGTATAGGGCATTTAGTATTGGGTCTCCCCATTTGTGCAGACACACATACACTGCATTTGTACAAGGCTACACTCCCAGCGACTGGGGTCTTCAAAGCCTGCAAGTGGCCATCTAGATGCAACAATGGGTCTCTCCTCGTCCAGAGCAAAGAAGAATGAAGAAACCCAAAGATACATGCAAACAATTCATCCAAGGGACTGGTACACCATGTGACCCTCAGCCTATGCAACTATGAGACCAGAAGAACTAGATGGTACCCGGCTACCATTGTCAACCCCTCAGAGGGAGTTCTATGTAGGAGATCCTGGATGGAGTGGGAGAACAATGTGGAACAAAACTCACAATCATTTAAAAAAAGACAGGTTTGCTGGCCTGATAGAGCCTGGTAGAACCCCTGAGACTATGGCCCCTAGCTGCCCTTCAGGTCTGGAATTGAACCCAACCCTGTGGCTTCCAGCTAAAAAGACAGGCATATGAGCTGAACATTTACATTAGGTAGATGCATTCCTTGGAGAGATCAATCATGAGAGAAAGAAGAGCTGTGTATGCACAGGGAGACAGCTTGGGACAGGAGTGCACGGGAGAGGACACAGGGAAGAGGTAACTATGGGGAGAAAGTGGGAGGGGAGCTGTTGCATTGTGGGAAATTGTAGTCAATGTCATGAGACATATGTGAACTGCTGTATGGAAAGTGAATTTGCTCTGTAAACTTTCACCCAAATCACAATAATAATAATAATAATAATTAAAAGGCTACACTCCCATTTTGCAGACAAGACATAGAGGCCCCAGATGGCGGCTGACTTGTTTACTGCCACCCACTGGAGCCTTCAAGAATCAGGTCTCCTGGCCTCCAGCTCTGGACTGTACCCCCTTGTAGGCCTGTGCTCCCCAACAGGATACCCCATCCCTTGAGAGACAAGCGCAGTAGCTCTGAGGGCTGTGTCCAGGAAGGCTGCCCCAGCTTGTGTAGGCCTGTGAACGGGTCTGTTCTGGTTCCCTAGTGCCTCTCTGACGAGAAATATACCACAAATGGGATGGCCGTAACAAACAGGAGTTTATTCTTACAATTTGGAGGCTTTAAATCTGAGTTCAAAGTGCCAGGTTCTAGGGGCTGGTGAAAGCCCCTCAACCTTGGGGTCCAGCTCTGCCTCCTGCTCCTGGCCCACTGGAGCGAGAGGCGTTTCTTCACTCAGACAGCTGCTGGCTGCTGAGGCTGAGAAGCCCCAAGGTTGACAAGTAAAAAGTCACAGTCCTGATGTTACCAATCCACACGGCAGGGCATTGACTTAAATCCATTGTAAGTCCCAAGGTCGGCAGAGCATAGCAGGCTGCTGAGCAACGACATGGCTACATGGAGGGTCCAAGCGTGCCAAAGGCTAGAGACCATTCCTAAGGCTTCTCCTTAAATGCAGGAAGCAGACCACATTCCCAAAGGCAGCTACTCAGGTAGATTACCAACGTAGATCCCACCATGGAGCTGATTGCCAGTCTTATCATGGGGAATAACTACCACCAGCTGCCGAGCCACTCAACCAGGCCCAGCCAAGTTGACACACAAACATAACTACCACGGGGTCAGTCTGTGAACGGGATGGGATGGCTGAGTCCGTGGGGGATAGGAGTTGGCCTTGTGTCTGGGGTGGGGGCTGGGTGGGTCCCTAGGACACAGCTGTAGTTTGTGTACCTGAGGGGGGTGTGGTCATCTGTGGTAGAGGGAAGGGTGATTAGGCTCTGCCTGGTGTGTGGCTGTGTGTGACAGGGTATGGGATCCTGACTGACTGTGGGGTGCACCTGCATCTGCCAGAGCTTTGAGACGACATGGTGGTTGACGCTGCAACCTTTACCCTCAGCCCACCCCTTCCTGCTTCTGCCTGTCCCTGCTTTATTTTCCCAGGTCACTTTTTGTAACCAAACCAAAACCCACTACCATCGGGTCAGTTCTGACTCATAGAGACCACTATTGGGTTTCTGAGGCAGTAAATCTTTATGGAAGTAGATTGCTCTGTCTTCCTTCTGCAGAGTGGCTGGTGGGTTTGAACAGCCAATCTTCTGTTTAGCAGTCAAATGCCTTAGGCACTGCACTACCAGACCGCTTTACTTTTTGTAATACAAAAAAATCCCAAACTCACTGCTATCGAGTCGATTCCGACTTATAGCGACCCCCATTGGGTTTCTGAGGCAGTAAATCTTATGGAAGTAGATCACCCCATCCTTCCTCTCACAGAGCGGCTGGTGGGTTTGAACTGCTGGCCTTCTAGTTAGCAGCCAAATGCCTTATCCATAACACCACCAGAGCTCCTTACCTTTAGTAATAGTGCCTATATAATTCATGCCTTTGCTGTGTTTCCTGCCCATCTTCCCCTAGAATGTAAGCCCCACAAGGGCAGAGATGCTGAGCTGAACAAATGGTCAGTGCTGTGTCCCCAGGGCCCCTGTGAATGGGAGAACTGCTGTATAAACTCATGCCCGTGTCTATGCGTGACGGTAAACACATGCGCCTGACGCTGCATCTGATGACAGTGAGACAAATATGCCGGGGAACCCAAGTGTAGCGGGGAGTAGCAACTGTGTCGGGTACTGCTGCTTCAGGCCTGGACCCTGAAGCTGTGGGGAAAGGGGAGGCAGCAAAGATGTTTGTTGCCCCCTTGTGGTCACCCTGGGAGCTGGCATCCGGACCCTGCCTCAAGGATCCTGGGTGCTAATTGCAAGGAGGGGGCCCTGGCCTGATGTCACACTCCATGTCACCCTCCCCCCAACAGGGAGAAGATGAGTGTGGGCTGCCCAGAGCCTGAGCCGCCCCGCTCCCTGCCCTGCTGTGGGCCAGGGGCCGCCCCTGGGCCAGGAGCCGGTGTGCCCCTTCTCACTGAAGATATGCAGGCACTGACCCTCCGCACACTGGCCGCCAGCGATGTCGCCAAGCATTATGAGCTCGTCCGGGAGCTGGGCAAGGGCACCTATGGGAAGGTCGACCTGGTAGCCTACAAGGGCACAGGTGAGTGGCTGCAGGGGGGCAGGAGTGAAGGTTGGGGGCATGGTCAGCTTTCGGATTTGGCTGTGGCTCTCTGGGGGTGCCAGGAGGGCATCAAGGAGGAGGAGGTGGTGACCCACTTGCAGAGAACGAGGCCTGAAGCATCATAAGGAAGAGACTGCCCAGACGAGGTGAGGGAGGACCCTGGGACAGAGTGCCCGCATTGGAGGGTGGGCTGCTTTGGGTCTGTCTGGGAGTATCTGTGGGACAGCCAAGGGCATGTGCCCAGGGTCATTGGCACTCAGGGGAGAGGTCAGAGCTGGTGGTGACATCTGGGGAATCACCAGCATTTTGGGGTAGCTGACCCCAGGCAGGTAGACAGAGCTGGGGGGAGGTCGTTGGGAACAAGGCACCATGACCATGCTTAAAGGGTGGTGCCAGGTATCCTGTGAGGGTCGTATGGCCATCTCCACTTCTCAGATGAGGACACTCAGACCCAGACAGACGCAGTCACTTAGCCAAAGGTCAATAGCTACTGCAAGTTTGAGTTCAACCAGAGCTTGGTGCCTCTCGTACACGTGGGCTCACAGAGGTACCTACTCAGCCATTTAGGGGCAGGGCATTGCTGCATAAGCTCTCATAGCTGCACACACCTGGGCTGAGGAGGGGCTTCTGTGCCAACTGTGGGCAACAGGAGCACTGGACATGAGGTTACCTGAGCTTTGCTACTTGCTTGCTGTGTGACCTTGGGTAAGTTATGTAACCTCTCTGGGCCATGGTAGCCTCCTCTGCGAAATGGAGTCACATTAGTGCCAACCTCATAGGGTCATTACAAGGAGTAAGTTGTAAATGTGAAGACCCGAAGGCAGGTCCTGTAATGTGTACGTGCTTTGTGGACACACGTGTGTGTATCAGAACTGTGGGCTCAGGTGGGTACAGATACTACCCAAGCACAGAGTCGGGGACATGTGCCTTGCACTCTCTCACCTCCCAGTGTCTCGTTTCTTCTTATTCATTCATCCAGTCAACAAATATTTGTAGAGTGCCTACCATATGCCGAACTCTGTTGTAGGCTCTGGGGGTGTAGCAGTGAGGGGTCCTGCAATCAGGGAGCTACATTCTAGTTAGAGGACGCAGACAAGGTAAACAAGTACAGTATGTCATGGGGAACACAGGAGACGGTGGAGGAAGCAGCAGGCCCTCCCCACCATCCTGCCCCGAAGAGGCTGCAGGCTGGGTATACCGCATCTTCCCGTAGGAGGCCCAGATTGATCCCTGACTTGCTGTGTGACCTTGAATGAGTCCTTTCCTCCCTCTGGGTCTGTTTCCTCTCTGTAGGGTGAGGACAGTCACGCCCACTGAGGCCTTCATTGTGCCCCAGTGCTGGGATGGGCATGGGTATGTCAGGTGCAGGGGTGTGGGGAGATGGGCTCTTCATTGCTGCTGCTATCGCCCCTGTCAGGCATGAAAATGGCGCTGAAGTTTGTGAACAAAAGCAAAACCAAGCTGAAGAACTTCCTGCGGGAGGTGAGCATTACCAACAGCCTCTCCTCCAGCCCCTTCATCATCAAGGTCTTTGACGTGGTCTTTGAGACTGAGGACTGCTACGTCTTCGCTCAGGAGTACGCGCCCGCCGGGGACCTGTTTGACATCATTCCTCCTCAGGTACTGGGCATGCTCGGGGAGGGAGGGAGATGGTCTTCTGGGCCCCCCCAGTGTGAGAGGGTGGAGGAATCAGACCACTCATTTCATCAGCAGACGTTTATTAAGCGCCTGTTGTTTATCAGTCAAAGGAGCTCTGGTGGTGTGGTGCCTAAGGCTTTTGACTGCTAACCAGAAGATTAGCAGTTCAAACCCACCAGCCACTCCACGGAAGGAAGATGGGGCACTCTGCTTCTGTAAACACTGTATCAATCACTATTTGGAAGATTGAGGAAACACAGTGAACAAGACTAAGGTCCTGCCCTCTTTCTAGCTGGGGAAACAGACACTATACAGTAGTAAACCAGAAAATGACAAGTCAAGATCGAAACCAACAGAGTGATGGGATGAAGGACAGTAGGACCCTCCTCTGGAGCTCCATAGGAACTAGTGGGATACAAGAGTCAGGGGGATCAGGTCGATCTGAGAGGGAGACCCCAGAAGCTTCCCAAGGAAGTCAGCACTCCCAGGGGGGAGAGCGTGGGCAGCCTCCGCCAGGGTCACAGCGCTAAGCCGCGGGAGAGATAGGTGAGGCCCAGGAGTGGGTGGGACAGTCCAAGACACAGCCCTGAGCGCAGCAGCTGGGAGGCGGAGCCAGGCGCTCCAGCTGGCGGTTGTGCGGAGGGTCCCCCAGGCAGGCTCGGTAGGGCGAGGCAGGCTCGGTAGGGCGAGGCAGGCTCGGTAGGGCTCGGGGCAAGGCCCCCTGAGCGCAGCTCTCCCGTCCCGGCAGGTCGGGCTCCCCGAGGACACGGTGAAGCGCTGCGTGCAGCAGCTGGGGCTGGCGCTGGACTTCATGCATGGGCGGCAGCTGGTGCACCGCGACATCAAGCCCGAGAACGTGCTGCTGTTCGACCGCGAGTGCCGCCGCGTGAAGCTGGCCGACTTCGGCATGACGCGCCGCGTGGGCTGCCGCGTGAAGCGCGTCAGTGGCACCATCCCCTACACGGCGCCCGAGGTGTGCCAGGCGGGCCGCGCCGACGGCTTCGCCGTGGACACGGGAGTGGACGTGTGGGCCTTCGGCGTGCTCATCTTCTGCGTGCTCACCGGCAACTTCCCGTGGGAGGCGGCGTCAGGCGCCGACGCCTTCTTCGAGGAGTTCGTGCGCTGGCAGCGCGGCCGTCTCCCGGGGCTGCCGTCGCAATGGCGCCGCTTCACGGAGCCTGCGCTGCGCATGTTCCAGCGCCTCCTGGCGCTCGAGCCCGAGCGCCGCGGTCCCGCCAAGGAGGTCTTCCGCTTCCTGAAGCACGAGCTCACTTCCGAGCTGCGGCGCCGGCCCTCGCACCGCGCGCGCAAGCCCGCCTC